TTCTTAGTAGAAACAAATACATGAAATAAGGACTTGTTTGTTTACAAAGCTAAAGCCTGTGTGCTTAAAAAATAAAGGGTTTTTTTTTTGTCTTTTGCAGTCTCTTTCATTTGCCAAGCCCTCCTATGATTATTTTGCAGGGTTCTCAATGTGAATTTTGCTTTAAAGCTTTATAGTTCATTAAACAGGGCTTGATCTAACTCCTTTTACCCACTTTTCACCCATGGAGGTCTACCACCTTCTTTAAAAGTCTTTCAATGTGGGAAAGTGGGATCTGTTATTTGGAACAATTGTGAGACCAAAATAAGTCACAGTTACACTTTCATCTGTGAAGTGTGATGCATACTAACCTAGAGACTACTAACTATTAATCATATTAGCAGGTTTGCCTGTTGGTGAAGGTGAAAGCTAGCAACATCTACCAGAGGAAATAAAAAGGCAGAGAGTAAGCAAAGAGAGACACCTACTTGACTGCATGGTTCTAGCTGATATTTCTGCAGTAGAAGCACCCAGGCCTTGAGGGGAGCGTGCAGCCAGACGGAAATAGTATAAGCTATTTGGTTTCAGTCCTTGCAGCCTATATGATGTCCCTGGCTCAATGGTAATTCGTTGCTGGAAGCAATAAGAGAATGTGGTCATCTTCAGTAAGATTCGTGCAAATACTTTTTAATCACACTGTCTGGACTATCAGATTTGTATCATCAGGATTATAATCTCACCAAAATATCACCAAAGGAGTCAATAGTGAGTATTATCCAGGGCTATACTAAGGAAATTATATAATGAAAATATCAGTTTAAAAGGCAAGTTTCTACAAAGGTAACTGGAAGAAGGGAAGTCAGAGATATTTTTAATGTTGACACAGTTAGCCAGACACATCAGATAAGAGGAAGACTGAGAGTCCAACACCCATGAGTATGTTCTGCCCTTAAATGCATGTATGTTGCTGTGACACAGATCACAACAGAAACTGACACCTGCCCCTAGTAGTGGAATCTGCCCAACATGTGCAATTTTAATTGAACAGATATCTACTCATCTCCCATGACCTTCTGAAATCTCAATTGGAGGCAAAGAAAATATGACCAGAAGTAGCAACAGTAACCAGTATACAATTTACAAGAGGTTGCTATATAAAAGAAATTTGAAATTGCCTAGTTTTGATGGGATAAAAATCATGTTAGTCACTAAAGAAAGTTGAACAATTTATTGGAAACCACATTACTACCTAGGTTGATCTAAAATAACTGAAAACCTTCCTTTCTTTGTGAATATAGAAACCTACAGCCAGAAAAAAAAATAAATAAATAAATTCACAAACTTTTGTGGACTTTTGAAATATGATTTTGTTAATCAAATGCCGCTGTTAATCAAATGCCACCGTTAATCAAATGCCATCCTGGCTAACTCAGTGAAATCCCGTCTCTACTAAAAAACAAAAAATTAGCCAGGTGTGGTGGCGGGCGCCTATAGTCCCAGCTACTGGGGAGGCTGAGGCAGGAGAATGGCATGAACCCGGGAGATGGAGCTTGCAGTGAGCACAGATTGCACTCCAGCCTGGACGAGAGAGCCAGACTCCATCTCAAAAAAAAAAAAAAAAGAAGGAGAAGAAGAATTCAAATATAAAACTAGAGAAACCATCCCTAGGGTATTCTGGCTTACAAATACAAAAGTTTTCAGAAATTTCAGATCCACCAAATAAGAAATAACAGAATTCCCTCAATAAGCAATTGTAGAGCATAGTAGCTGAGCCAACATTCAAGCATCACAATTCTCCTTTACTCTTTGTATGTATGTGTGTATGTATGCATGTATTTTAGTTTGGTGGTGGTAATGAAGGTTTAAAATAATTCAAAGCTGATTTAAGCCTTATAGAAAACACCAATTGCTCAAGTTGTTATCATGAACACTTTAAGTCATACCGGCATTTCAACTATATAACTTTTTAAGTGTATTTTTTATTGGCTTTGTTAGCTAAATCTAAATTTATATTGGCTTTGTTAGCTAAATCTAAAAGCACTGCATTTAAAACCTATTCTTTTGAGATTCTGCTCAATTCAAACAGATGGAATAAAACAGTTTACAAGAACATATTAATTTATTACAATATCCAAATATAGTGCCATTAACCCCTTTTGTCCTAATGTTCCCCATTGGACTTCACAATAATAAAAGAAACATATTTATTACTATTATGTATTCTCATTTTGAAAATGTTAGATGTATCTTAATATCGATTTCTATAATGTATTCAAGCTGCACTCGAGAAGCAGTAGACCCTAACCATTAACAACACAGACTCTGGAACTTGATTGCCTAGACTCAAATCCCAGCTCTGCCATCCACTAGTGTGAGACTTTGAGCAAATTATTTAACTTTTTTTCCATGCCTCCATTTTATTATATGTGAAACAGATTAATAAGAAAGGCTAGCTCCAGTGCTACTATAAAAATTAGATGCTTTAGAACAGCGCTATTAATGAGTTAGTTATATTGGTTTTCATTTCTCTTTTCAATGACGATCAATAATTGCCATGCTTCTACAATCTGTTATTTTATTTGCACAGCATACTCAAATGTTATATTACACTCACCTTCATACCAACATACTTTATAGCAAACAAATTAACATTTGCTATGGGAATCTTCATAGCAAGATTCATCTAGCCAAGGACTAGTTCATCTAGCCAAGGACTTTCATTAAATATAGAGCTAATGTAGTCACCTTGTCCCCACAGTGACTTAAATACTTTCATGCAGAAGAGAAAGACAGTCCCCAAGTCTCACTGAGTATTTATTCTTCTATAACCTGATACATCTATGGAACTTGGAGCTCTGTCAGAAGCACATTCCAATAGGAGCAAGAATTATTTTGTTTTGTTTTTCCCCAAAGCCTCCAAATAACCACTCTGCTGTTTTTGTTGCTGTTGTTTTGGATTGGGGAGGGGGGGTCCAAGTTCCCTCTTTTCAGTAGTAAATCTTTTCCATCAAGGGTCCTCATAGCTATCTGACCAAGAATGTGGGTAAAATACACAAAAATAAGAAGTGACCCAACGTAAGGAATAATTCCCAGGGGAGAAGCACTATAGTCTTACCTCCTCTCCATGCTCCCCATCTTTGTAGACCAGCTCATAGTTGGCAATGGTATTGAGCGTGGAGTGTCCAAGAGAGCAAAATACTTGTTTCAGACTCAGGTTCTGCTTTGAAGTTTAGTGGCTGCCCTGGTACTAAAAACAGGGAGGCAAAGGATTGAACTCACAATCACCAGGAGTATTCACAAAGTTCTTTCATAGTGTACCCGTTTAAACCTTTCGAAATCTGTACATATGTACCAGCTTAGTGGGAAAACAAGCTCCTTTACATTGTCCAAGTTAACCTCTTTGTACACAGGGCAAGTACAATGTTATAAATCCTGCTCCGGAGTAGTAGAACGTCTACACAAGATATAGTAGAACTAACAAGTATAAAGTCTATTGGCCTCTGAATTTAATTTTAAGGAAAAAATTCTTTACTTCATGATATGGTTGTTAGTAATAAATAATATAATTTAAATAAAACTCTTGCAATATTGCCAAAAGCATAAGTGCTAAATACCTAAAAGTATTGTTATTTACAACTGAGTAGGAACTTACTCTCTAGCACTACATGTAACATTAAAATTATTTCCAATTAAACTTATAAGATCCTACCTTTACTCCAATAACAAAACCTACAGGCAAACAGAATCACTTAGCATTTTGTCTTACCAGCCCATATTTTGAAAAAGAGGTGTAAAAAAGGAAAAACAAAACAAAACAAAACTCTATCACTTACAAATAATTACTTCTAATCTCTAAACTATGTTAAATTATTTAATGCATTACACCTAATACAAACAAAATATCCCCCCTAGTGCTACAAAGCTGAACTACTACTAAAATTAAGACGTTTATAGAATACTACTTATCAGAAATATGGTAACTTAAAGAGATCATCTATAATTCTGTTAGCCACGTAATCTATTTGATAGAAAATCTGGAAGAGCTGTTTATCAGCTGTAATAAAGAACGGAAAGTCTATTCGGTTTAAAACACCTTACTCAAATATACTAGAATAATTACTAACCTAAATGTCCTAGTCCACACCTGAGCCTATCAGCTCCCCTCTATCCCTTACACACAAGGCTGAGTCAGGGTGTCACTGGCACATCTAACAGTACATTGTTCTTGGCCACCGTCTGCTCTGATTGGTGAGTGTCCATGCTTTCCCAATTGTAAAATATTTTGATCATTACCCTTGATATTATGGCATGTCTCACTGCTCTGTGGCTGAACATATGTTCACAGTCCCTCAAGTTTAAATGAGAATTCCATTTATATTTAAAGAAAAAAAGAAAACAATAATACTCCACAGCAGAGGAGTTAAAAAAACATCTAAAGTGTACTTAAAACATCTAAAGTGGCAACTTCAGCAAAAACATTTTTAAAACACATACAATACAGTGTAATTTGTAGTTGAAAAGAAGACTTTGGAGAAAATGTATTGCTTTCCTTTTCTGTTATAGTTATGTCTCTGTAGTATAGCTTTTAAAAATGCCCTCTGTTAAAGCAGTCTTCAAGAATGATCTGTAGAATCCCTAATGATAATTTTATTGCTCTGGTAAGTCAGCGTGTGTGTGTGTGTGTGTGTGTGTGTGTGTGTGTGTGTACAGGAATACATGTTTGGACTGATGCTTAAGGTCACAAATAATCAGTGCTTCCTATTTCTAGTTGCCTTCATCATCTTTTCTCTCTCTCTTTTTAAAAATCACAGGCCTTGAAAGTCTCATTGATTTGATGTCTCTGGGAACTTACTTTCTGAACAGAGTATCATATTTTTTTCCCCAGGACCTGCCCAGTGGGTGACCTAACACAATCATTTAGATTGAAAGGCAAAAGAATATAAAACCGAGAACCAAGAAGCAGAGGGACAGAGGGGAACAAAACACAAATAGGCAAATTGCAAAGCAAATGGAAAATGCATTATTTCTAAAAGGGAAATACCGAAAGCACTGGCAGGGGCAACAATGGAAACAAGAGTGATCAGATAGATGGGAAAATTATGATAGGATCTAATATTCACATGATGAAAGGGTTTCTCAGGCTAAAAATGCACACATATGCCTATGTATGCAGTCACTGATTTTTTTTCCTAGTTGTATCTGCTTCTTTCTTTCTCCCAATTTCCTGGGAAACACAAAGTCTGTGTTAGCTCCTGACTCAAACCAAACCGGGAGTACAGTATGGTCAAGAATCAGAAACACAGAAAACATTGAAGGGCTGCTCTCAGGATAATAATTGCCTCTTATGCATTTCCTCCCTGCCTAATGCTAATAATAAATTGACATTGATTGAAAACATCTTGGAAACCTAATTAACTTTTTCTTACTTAAACTGTTTACTTTTTGCTTTAATTTGTCTTGAGGAAATTCCCAGTTGGTCTCAATATTCATTCTTGTTTAGTGACACAAGCTTCGTCTGATCATGTAATTCTGTTTGTTTCTATTAAGAGCCCCTTCCCTCTAAATAATGACTTAAGTAGACACATCAGCGTCTCAGAGAGTACACTGTCCTTTTTATTTTTGCACAAAGCTAAGAGCTGACTAGACAACTTGATGCAAAGTGTCTTCATCTAATGTACAGGAGGTTCTCTCCTGTTCTTTCCTTATCCTTCTTTTGAAATGGTTCGGAGGGTAACTTCATGTATTAGATGTTAAACTCGTGGTACAGGCTTAGGCATGGTAACTCACATCTGTAATCCCAGCATTTTGGGAGGCCAAGTTGGGAGGATGCTTGAAGTCAGGGGTTCGAGACCAGTCTAGGCAACACAAGCAAAACCCTGTCTCTACAAAATAGTAAACTTAAAAATATTAGTTGGGCATGGTGGAGCATGCCTGTAGTCCCAGCTGCTTCGGAGGCTAAAGTTAGAGGATCACTTGAGCCCAGGAGGGTGAGGCTACAGTGAGCAATGACTGAGCCACTGCAAACAACCCTGGATGACAGTGAGAATCTGTCTCTAAAATAAATAAATAAATAAATAACGTATAAAATAAACATGTGATACAAACACAAATGCTTGGAGGTGTCAGGTAATTTAGAAGAGTGAGAAGGCCATAAGGGGCCTGGGGCCCAGTGGCGCGTGCCCCCCACCTGAAGAGGAAGCGCAGGCCATGCTCAGTGACAGCAGGCTGCTGCCTTGTGAAATGTGGGCCCACTCTTGTCCCAGCCTCAGATTTTCTTCACAGAAGTTGATCGTGAACCTTCCAGGTAAACCTTTCCATTCTTAATTACTGAAAATTAATTGAATTTAAAAGCACTGTATGGGGCAAAAATGTGTCTACAGGCTAGATTCAGCATATGGGTCAGGGTTCTAAATTAACCTTCCATGATCTCAGGCTCCAGACTCATCAATGGCTTAAGGGTTTACTACCCACACTTCCTCGGGAATTGAGGGTGTACCTGATGATATCACTTCCTCAGGGCATTTCATCATATTTAAACCCACCACCATGAAGCGGAGGATGCAAAGGAATTTTAAAAAAAGGTATAAAATGAATGTATTTTTAAATTCCCAACATATTGGTCCTAATAAGCATAATATATGATATATAGAAAACACTTTAGGGGCTACAGACTGTCATATTTGTTTTCTCTGTAACACTTGAGACAGGGGAGTACTTTCATTATCTGTCAATTGAATTTTTATACCAAATATTGTGTCTACAGAGGTCCCATTTCACATTACTATTAATGTTTTCTCTCTATATATGTTTATATGTATTTATATATACAAATGTATAAATGTAAATATTTACCTACATTTTATTGATTTATTTAGTTAGTTTTGAGACAAGGTCTTACTGTATCACCCAGGCTGGAGTGCAATGGTACAATCATGGTTCACTACAGCTTTGACCTCCAAGTCTTATGTGCTCCTTCTGCCTCAGCCCCCTGAGTAGCTGAGACTACAGGCATGTGCCATAATACCCGGCTAATTTTTTAATTTTTTTGTACAGACAAGGTCTCAATATGCTGCCCCAGGTTGTCTGAAGTCCCTGGGCTCAAGAAATCCTTCCACCTCGGCCACCCAAAGCACTGAGAGTATGGGTGTGAGCCACTGTGCCTCGCCTTCTTACACATAGATATTTTACACTCTTGTAATCATTACACACCACACTTTCTCACTGGTATCCTTTTTTTACCTTCACTTACCAATCCTTTGTCTATGTATATCTTATTTTATTTTTATTTTATTCAAGAGCTTTTCTGTGTTGTAACATTTCCTTCGCTGATTAACTTAACATAAATTTTATAAGAAAATGTGAGATTCTGGGAAAATGATGGGCAAATAAAAACAACATATCCAGACCTTCAAGCAGTTACTTCATATTCAAAGGAGAGAGATGATACTGACCATAAACCAAATTTACAATAGGACATGGAAAGAAGAAATAAACTAAGCAAAAGTTTTTCTTTAATATTATATTTAAGAAGTCATTATATAGTGTAAAGGTATGTCCTTCCTCTTGATTACTTATTTAATGTTCACAAGGAAATAGAAATGTGAGCTATCAAGTCCCTAAAATAAGATTATAATCCCACTAATACATATTAAGTACTTGAGCATTATTATAATTATACTCTATATAAATATGTGAAAGCAACGCAAAGAAAAGGGATAAAAAAGAGACTAACAAAAGAGAAACCTTCACATTATCTGAAATGCTGATATCTTAGAAGAAATTAATATTTGAATAAAATTTAGAGATTATCTCTAAAGAAAGGTTGACACATATTACACTGCTAAACAACAGTTTCATCTTGCTATAGTATAAATATGAAATATGACCAAAGATACTAGAAACCCATGATTGCTAAAATATCTAGTATTTTAATAAGGTACGTGTTTTAAAATGTGTGTATCTAGCATGTTGATAAATGATAACAACAATAAAACCGACAGCCAGAATTATAATGGTAGTAAAACAAAACAAAATTCAAAACAAAGAGTCTGATGTGTAAATGCCACAAATATATCATTGACAAAATAAGTACTTAATACACAAGCATCAGCACAAATCTTACTCTCAACAGTCATTAAATATAAATGAGAAAAAGTTAAATTTTATTA